GGAGGATATCAGCGGCTTGTCTGCCCTTCTTAAGAGCGTAGTAGAAGTTGGGCTACCATCACAAAGGATAGTGCTTGAGACATACTCTTCCGACCAATTATCAGAGCTTAGCAATCGGCCCTTGAAGGAACTATTCCAGTTTTGCACTGGCAGAGACTCTCAGCGAGTTTATGCGGTGGCCGGCCCTCCGCTTGGTTAGGATCCATCGAATAGTACTTACAGTGAGTACCCACGTCCACCTGCACCTCAGGAAGGATTTATTCATCCCTTGACAACTGATCAACAAGTCGACATGGCTGTGGAAGAGTCGTTTTGTTCACAGAATGGTGATTTATCTGTGAAACCACTGGACCATTATGACGGAGAACCCCGTTTAGTAAACACATCCATAATCTCGAATCAGTTGAATACAACCGGCGACATGTCTACATCCGTAAACAACAGTAATTTTTCAGTACAGACTGTGGATATGCCACAAGAGATGGGATGGTCAGGTAACGATCAGGATATTAGGACAGTGAACCCGAGGGATCTGCAATTGCGAGCAGCGTCGTTTTAGTACAAACAATATCAGAACACAGTCATGTTTCCCTTACAGTACCTGCAAAGCATTCAAGCATTCAGTTTTTGGCTCTTGCGTAGGTTATAATGATGTCATTGATGGATGTCCATTTTGATCCTTGTGATAGACCAAGGCGACCCTACCCTGCAACCCTTAACTCTTGGCGCAGCGTCAATCTCCACCTCTAAATTTGATCCCTCGAGAAAAGCGACGAAAAGATAGAATAGCACTGCAGCCGGTTGTGGCTCGATGACCACGTAACGAAAAATAAGGGCATCAAAACAGCCCGTCTTTGTCCTGCCAAAACTGGAACCCTCAGCCAAATCTTACTGGTGCCGTTTCTCACGCCCTTCAGTATCTCAGTCTTGGCATCTTGCAGTAGTGGAGGTCGGGAGCCCAGCGGGCGTGAGACCGGCGGGCGTGAGAGTAGTGGACCTCGGGAGTATCCCAGCGGCCCTTAGTGGTCACCATTGGGACTAGACTGAGTCCTTGTAGTGAGAGTAGTAAAAATCCAGCACGTGAAATGTGAATCATTAGCAAGGAACTGCACAAGGCGGGTGGAGCAATACCTGTCAGATGGGAGGTTCCCAATGAATGCTTGATATATACTAACGTCCATCCATACGTAGCGAGAAACCAACTGTGCCGAGAAAAATGATAGGTAACGTCGGTCCCTAGGTGAAGGAAAATCCACCGTGTAGGAAAAACTTGTCCAATATGAAAAGGGATTGCTTGATAATTTGAATCTGGAAGCAATCCGTAGCACGTAGTCACGTGGCTTCGTGATATGCTAGTACCTTTGGGGCTACGCTACCGTCATGTTATTTGTACCGTCATATTATTTGTACCGTCGTTTTGTTGGTAGTGTACTGTTCTCTGCACCTATGGGAATGAGCTACCGTGAAATGCCAGGTACTGTAGAGTCTTCTGCACCTTTGGGAATGAGCTACCATCATGTTATTTGTACCGTTGTTTTGTTGGTAGTGTAGTGTCTTCTGCGCCTTTGGGAATGAGCTACCGTTTGGCGGTTTCTATTGTCAGAGGTTCCATTTCCTTTAAGAGTCACGTGGGTGCATGGTAAAAGTGGCAACGGTATCATGACATTGCAGAGTAATTTGCAACCAGGATTGCTGGGGCATCTGGAGAGTAATATAGCTAGAGAGTGACATTAAGTATAAGAGAGCCATAATTTTCTACGTGACTGTTACAGTAAAGAAACCTTCTCGAAAATGCAGGTGAGGGATCATTTGGCACTATTTCGGCTAATCCGAATACTGATCAGCAGGGGTCGAACAGATCTGATTGAGCCAGGGTTGCGTCATCCCACCTTCTTGGCGCCGTGGCAGTCGCATTATCCACACCTAGTTTATTCCTTCTCTTTACCCCCTGCTTGCTCTGGATCTTCTGCATTGCGTTTCCGTTGATATTTCGCGTCAGCGTTATGTAGCAACATACTTATAGGGATTGGAAACGAAGTCATCTTGCCAGTACTTAGTAAATACCTTCAAAATCAGGAGTGAACGTACGATTTCTTTCTTGGATGGTGGAAAACGTGGGTTACCAGGAGATACATAAGTGTAATAACGCCCCTTCTAATAGATGATCAAAGCAACATCTGCGCCGTATAATTCCCCATACTCATATACCTTGTTGGTCAAAGTGCTTCTCCTTCGAGATGCATTCTGGCTTTGGCGTTTCCGTACGTTGCACATGTTGGGATAGAGAATATGATGCCTCCTGTAATTTGAAGACTTGTAGTTCGATCAAGATAGTCGCAGAGTGCCACTGGCATTTTACAGCCGGCAAGGCTATTTAAAGTGTTTCAAAGAGATCTACTTCGATATAGCAGGTACCTGAAAGCAGGTACCTTTAAATGTAAGTACCTGACTTTTTGTGGGTACCTCTTCATTCTGGGGTGTGCTGACCAAGCCTGTCGAAAATAGTATGCTTTGCTCATGTTGCGATAGAGTTTATTGGGCATGGAATCAAGGGAATTACAGTCGCTTGCAAAACCGGCTTCCCCTTAGAATACAGCTCCAAAATCATTCACTTTGCTTTTGACCAGGGTCATCGGGTTAATCTAGCCAAATACGGTTAGACGCAGAGTACGTACTCCCTTCAATTTGGCCTACACTCTAAATGTGGTCTTTCAAACGCTTTAAAGTCATGCGGGAACTACGGTAATTTATAGCATTTCAAGTAAATCACTATGACTCCAAACCTTGCCCCTTCCCAGCATGACTTGATTTCGGACATGATACATGCCAATATTTAAGGGTTTTCGTTATTGCCACACGGCACATCATGCCATTCGACCAACTTATTCGTCCAGTGTCAAGAGTAGGGTTGTTTTCTAGGTAGGGAGACCAGGCTCGGTAGTTACGAAGTGGAATTTCAATTAGACTTCATGTTGTCTTCTAGCTAAAGTTTTGTGATAAATTTGGTATACTGTACTAGTTCAAGCCCACTATTCATAATAAATGTTGGAAGAAGCCAGGTTCGAAGTTTGCTATGCCGACTATGGTCACCATGTTAAGTGCCTACATGGAACTAGCATACTCCCCGCCTCTGAACTCTGGTTAAGCCACGGGCCGTCGCGCTACCCCTTGGAGCGGGGTAGAATTTTAGCGCGGCACCCGAGACGTTTTATGAGGCTGAACCTCAACCTCACTCATCATTCCTGTCTCATTACTGTGTCAACATTTCCTCATTCAATACTACTCCGCACTCAGCATCTGGTTACCATTTGTTGACAACCCTGTAAGAAAGACTTTCGATTTGCTGCATACACTTCTGACTTACTCTAGCTTCGATAAATCATGTCCGGCGCTGAAGCAGGTCTTGTCCTTAGCATCATCTTAGCAATCATTTCAATCATTAATGCCACTAAAAAAGTTTATGAGGCTGTCGAAGACGAAGCTAGCCTCCTAACAAATTTCAAAAAGTCGGCAAGGAAACTCCCTCTTATCTTGAAAGTCCTCGAATATGCGGAAGAATACGTTAATAACGAGACGGACGAGTCTACAAAGGCTGCGTTTACACCTACTTTGGAGGATTGCAAAGTTCAAGCTATACACCTCTAGGAGTTGTTCAAAAAGGTCATGCTAGAAGAGGGCGGCTCGAGGTGGGATCAATGTACAAGAGCTTCTCAAACGATTAGAAAAGGCGGCCGTGTAGAGAGCTTAGTTGGGGGTATCTTAGACGACTTGCAACTCTTAGCAGCGAAGTTTCCAGGAGTAACGACGCTAGGAAGATGTGCTGGCCGGCGCGGACTCGCCATGGCCTTGGTATGGTTATGTCGACTTGCATGACCTGTTCTGGATCTAGCTCACTAGTTACACCCTGGTTCGACAAGGGCTTGACCACAGCAGTGGCAAACGGGCGGCCAAACACAAAGTTCCTAAACACAAATAGACACTAGTGAGCCATCGACATTGCCACCCACAAACATATTCCGAACTGTAAGAACAGCGTTGCTGCTTTCTTCTCTGGAATATGGCACCAGATGGCGACTAAAGTTACCACGGCTAGAATTAGGTGTGAATTAAGAAAACTCTCGTATAGGAGACTTCTCATGAGACGTATCGATAGTATAAAAATGAAGCCAAGTGCCGAGCTCGCCTGTTGCGTGTTAGTGGCGGCTACATATACACAAAAAGACCTACCACAACTCTAGAGGCGCTACCCGACGTCTAGGTGAATCTGCCACCTTCCTTCAGTGAGACAATCATGTGCAACATAGCTAGCGCGATTGTAGTCCTACCTATCCATCTATGGGATCCGAGGCTTGATTGAAGCGAGGTCCCTAACACTTTTGTCATGAGGCTTATTCGAGGACTGCAGAGGAGGGGGATAAGATTGATGATTGACATGGTAGCAGCGCGGGCTCCCGCCTCCGCCTACGAGGCCTTCGGAAGAGCAACGAAGAGGACATTTGCGGTTAAGTACAAAGTGGTTGCAATGATCTAGAACCGTGTAGCTGTTCCTAGGAATGGAACTTTTGGTAGTAAATGCGGATAAACAAAGTGTTTCAAGATGAAGAATGAAGTAGAGTGCCATCCAGAAGTCATTACATGGTAGAGTGCTCGAAGTAGTAGCCATAATAGAAAGAAAGATGCCTAAATTACTAAATACCAGAATGGAGTATCGTGTTTAATCCCGCTGAATCTTAAAAGAATCCAAACGCAAAACGAAATGAACGACATATTGACGTGAATAGAGATATCATGAGAGTCGAAAGTGCAGAGGACAAGCTGAAGTCTACTCGTCTTTTGCAATGCAACAAAAGTTTGACGTTTGCGAGGTGGACAACAGCAGGACCATCGGATAACCCTGAGGATTAACATGTGGGTGACTCCGTCTTTCGCGTATTGTACACTCGAGAGACCACCTCCGCAGAACCACGGGATGAACCTGTGGGTCAACTCGTGGGGATGTCATGTCCACCTCCGCAAGGCATCCATCTGATGGACCTGACATAGTTGGACCATCTGATGGAACCTGTGGGTCAACTCGTGGGGATGTCATGTCCACCTCCGCAGACCATCCATCTGATGGACCTGTGGTAGACATGTTGGACCATCCGATGGAACTTGTAGGGCCACCTGTGGTTGCCATCAATACAGGCCGATATTCTACCTCTATGCTAGGACACGTCACGTTCAAGGGCCTGGAGTTACGTCACGTTAGGGACTTAAGAAAAATCCTCACAGTGGAGAAGAGACCTCTGAGAGAGCAACTTCGGAGAAGGAAGAATACTTTTTTCTGGAAAGGCCACGAACAAGTGCTGTCTGTGAAGTGAGTGTCCTCAGTTTGGTCGTCGACAACAACAAATTAGATATCTATAAAAACATGGACAACCCCACCGGATTTTTCGGATGAACGCCAAAGCTCTATGTAGATTCACATGGTGGGTTGGATCTGTGGGTTGTGGCCCACGGGCGGAGCGGACTGTCAACTACTTAATCAAGGGAAGACGGAGCCATATAGAACGAGGATAAAAATATATGTTCCGGCCCAACCACCAACTATTCTGGTTGGCCAACTGGCCGGCCCAACCACCAACTTTTGGGTTGGTGGTTCGGCCGGCCCAACCGCCAACCTGCTAAGGAGCGGGGTAGTTAGAATAGTAGAATAGAGTATTAAAGCTTTATATTATACACCTATATACGCAATTATGGCTACTATTACTTCAATTAATCCATTTCCGAACGATGTGCGTACTGCCTTTAAAGCCTATATAAGTAGTACAACTTACTACAATCGTGAGCAGCTCTCATATGATAAATGGGAGCGTATATGCACAATACTACAGAACCTAGCTGCTTTTAAAGTAACACATAAAGAAGCAAAGGCTCTTAAGCATCGTGCGCAGTCTGATTTTGAGCTTATAGATAATAAGCTCTATAGAAAAAGTAACGTACAGTACTTAAACGCTCGATATGTGGTTCGGAAAGCAGAGGTCTTTAATGTTATTGTAGAAGAGCACCTTAAGCTTCTACACGTAGGCTAGAATAAGGTGTGGCCTGCAATTGAGCAACAGTACTATGGAATAAAGCGAGAGGATGTAGAGTTTATACTCAAACGGTGTAAGAATTGCACCTTAAACCGACTAAATACTACAAAAGCTCCATTAGTCCCTATTATAAGTGGACAGGCGTAGGAGAGGGTTCAAATCGACCTAATTGACATGCGCCACGAGCCGTTAGGGCAGTATAAATGGATTCTACATATAAAGGATCACTTCTTAAAGTATACACAGCTTTACCCATTAAAAAGCAAGCACGCAGAGCTAATTTCAGACTGCTTTGCTCAATTCATTGCAGCTTTCTTACCTCCTAAGATTATGCAAGCTAATAATGGGAAGGAATTCAAAGGGGCTCTCCTTATTCTACTACGGAGGTATGGAATTCAGGTGGTAAATGGAGCACCACGATCACCACAAACGCAAGGCCTAGTTGAGCAGGCAAATGGAGTAGTTCAGAATAAGCTCCGGGCATAGAAAATGGATCATGGGTCTACAGAATGGAAGAATGGGCTACTTGAAATAGTGCTTGCTATGAACACCCAAATCCACTCTACAATTGGGTGTGCGCCAGCTGAGCTTCTATTCCGAGAGCGGAGCTCACACATTGACTGGCTCAACAGTTAGGCCCGGAAGGATCTGTCAATTGGAATTGAGCAGGAAGACCCAACCATGGGCCCGATATTTGAGAGTGATCTTGAGCCCGAAGCTCTAATTGACCCACAGCTCCGCCAGGCGCCAGAGCTCTCAATTGAGCTTAGAATTGGGAGCTCACACTCCGAGCCAGAACTCGGAATTGAGCTCGCAATTGAGAGCTCCCACTCCGAGCCAGAACTCGGAATTGAGCTTGCAATTGAGAGCTCCCACTCCGAGCCAGAACTCGGAATTGAGCTCGCAATTGAGAGCTCACACTCTAAGCCAGAAATTGGAATTGAGCTTCGGCGTGGGACCCGGGCTCGAGTTCCAGCTCAGCTTAGAACTGAGCTTCGGCTTACACCAGATCCTGTAATTGAGAGAGCTATAGTAGCTACTCAACGAGCAAGGATTTCTATGGTGCGGAAGTATACAAAGAAGCATGATATTCAGCACTTTGATGTAGGAGCAATAGTCTCTATAAAGGTTCCTCGAGAGGATAGAACCTCAACTGATAATAAGAGGCTATTTGCAAGAATTCTAGAAGAGCCTTACCCTCATAGGTATCGGATTCTTATAGCTTCTAGTATTATACAACGCCTTATTCCTACTAAATCACTTGGAGTTGTAGAGCGAGCTCTATGGGGTGATATAGTAATTCCTACTTCTACTAAGGAAGTAGGCCTAGGGCTTGCAGCTAGAGAGGCTTCTACAAGTGCTTAGGTTGGAATATCCTGTCAGTGCAAAGGGCTGTGTAGTACGAAGAGGTGTAGGTGTTATAAGGAAGCAAAGGAGTGTAGTGTACACTGCCATAACGATGACCACGACTGTGGCAATTTATCAGGTCTTACTACTCGTACGGAAATAGCTTTAGTTGAGAGGCCGAAGCGGAAGCGGGCTAGAGTAGAGTAGGTAATTCAATTCAATTCAATATACTATTCTACTATTCTACGTATAGGTTGGCGGTTGGGCCGGCCGAACCACCAACCCAAAAGTTGGTGGTTGGGCCGGCCAGTTGGCCAACCAGAATAGTTGGTGGTTGGGCCGGAACATATATAATCTAAAAAAAATATGTCTTGTCTCGTGATGGTTTTAATATCATGGTTTAATTAAATCATGGGGTGGAAATTCGAGCTCTAAGTACGACAGCATGTCTGTAACGTATAATAAAGGCTGAATTTATATTCTCTCCCAGACGGCCTCATTTATGGGAAAGTAAATAGCACTATGATGTGTAATAGTAATAGATTTAATTTGCTAGACTCATGTCACAACGTCGCCGTTTCTTTTCCACTTCTCCATCACGCATTCATCGCAGGTATAATCATAGCCATAGGTGCAGCAACTATAGCGAAGAATGGCAAGGCGGTTCTCATGGCATAGCTAGAGCTTGTGGGCGCTATGCGAGTGTACGTAGGCGATATTCGAGTGTATGTGAACGATTGCGTATCGAGTAGCGGTGTAGAAGGTAGAGAGCTTAGGATTTCAATTTTCAACGTAGGGAGCGATTTGGTCGAGTATTCCGTCTTGATCGCGATCGGGACTTTCTAGGAGAGCCTACATAATGATATTAGCGGAGAAAATACTATTGTTTTAACAGAACTCACCTTCTTGCTTCCATCTTTTCTCCACTAATGTGAATGAGCAGAGGACAATAAGGGCGGCTAGTATCATGGCAAGCGGTCTCTTCATCTTGCTCTCTTGGAAGTGACGTAGTAGTCCAAACAAGTCGCATTGCGTTCAGGAGGCTTTAATATTGTTTGTTGCAGGTTGTACGGGACGACGGCTGCACCTTAATACTAAAACTTGTATACCACTCGTCGAACCAGTTGATGCAACTTGATGTACCACCCGATGATACCACCTAATGGTACCACCTAATGGCATCACATAATGGCATATTTGGGTGGGAGGCGAGCTTTGCAATAGTTGCAGTACTTAAGTAACCATTATCCTGAGCAGGAGTTGAGGTATCTCTAGCCAACATTGTCAATAATCAAGATGGTTGCCGCGAAAACCCCTACAAAAGCAGCAAACGCCAAAACAGCAGAGGCTCGTGCAAAGCGTAAAGCCGAAGTAAGAGCAAAAGTTAAACAAGCCAGCAATAAGCTTGAAGAGCTCACGAAGCATGACGAAGAAATCTAGATTAAGCTGAAGGAGCTCCGCAAGAAGTATGATAACGGTGCCAATCCCCAGTATAAAGAGGAGTTAGATGCACTTCAGCTCGCATCGGTTGAGTCTGGTGATAAGTTGATGAATTGTCAAACCGATGTAGAAATGGCCAATAAGGAGGAAATTGGCATAGATAAAATGGACGTCGATTCGCTCTTTGTTGAAGAAGGAGACAACGGTAGCGATGGTCCATCGTCTAGCAGCTCCCACATCTCCTCAAAGTTGTCGTCCTCAAACTTGGGGTTCTCAAACTTGGCAGAGGAGTATATTGGAGTGAAAAGCTCTTCCGTACACAACTTTGTACACCATTTAGAGAATTGAGCCTCTGTCATGTTTCCTTCGCCTGTCGGAAATGATGAGGCTATACTAAATGGTTGGGTTGACGCGGCCATACTTATCTCGTGTCGCTGTAGAGCTTGTGATGGGGTTTGAGAATAAAGGACGAGGAAGCTTAGCTCTTTAGAAGTGGGAAGAGGAGCCTTCTTATAGACCTGGAGCACATACGACGAGCTAAGTTGCTGATCAATCATCACATGGTCTTGTCTGTCTTTGAGGCAGTGCATTTTCTCTAGAGCTCGAGCTAATGGTATTTTAGGGGTAAAAACAGACTGATGAGCTGCAGAACCCCCTTGCTTGGTCCTTTCTTGCGTCTGTAACTAGGCAACAGCTGAGTCTCCACCGCTAGATAGGCTGATGAGCTGCATGACCCCTTGGTCTTGGTCATGTTAGTTGGTAATGGCGGAGCTGGAAGTGCGTTCCGAGCTCGTCGCGCGCTACATTTCCGCGATCCGAGGCAGACTAAATGCGAGCTCAGAGAGCTGAATAGAGGAACTGCACAGCCTAACGCTGAAGTAGGAACCGTTGATGCCTGAGATGGCCCGAAATGAAGAATGGGACTGAGGCAGAACATGCAGGTATTACCCCTTTATCATTATAACACGTTATCAGGCGCTTCAACGAGAGTCTAGCCGAGAAATGTTTGCCTTTGGGGGATGCCCGTCTTGTTGTCACAGCTACATGAATGCAGATGCAACATCACTGTGGTTTACGTGGCGTTGTTGATGGAGGAAG